GGGAAAGAGAATAAGCAGGTGAAGACAGACAAGAAGGCAGGAGCTTTGTGTAAAGTGAGAGGACACTAGAGAACTTGAAGCACAGAACTTTTTCTGTTTTTGTTTTGTAAGCTTCATCTGGCTGTCTGTGGAGAACTAATTTCTGGGGTTTTAGAATGAAAGCAGAAGGTTCAGCAAGGCAACCATAGCAGGTCATGACCATATATATATTTTGAAGATACAGCTGACATTTGCTTATGGACTGAATGTTATAAAGGTTAAGAGTAGGGTCATCCATTAGATTTAAAAGACCAGTTTGGGAGGTAAAATAAAAAGTTCTGTTTTGTTACGTTAAAGAATCTATTATATATCCTAATAATATGTAAGTTTGGAATGGTCACTGTGAGAGATAAGCAATATATTAAATGTCATTTTAAAACTCATGAAGCTGGTTGAGATCATCCAGGGAGTGTTACTCCAAAGAATAGGGTGCCTAAGACAAAACCCCAATACCTGAACATATTTATGGGTAGAACGGAGAAGACAGAAGAGACAGTTAAAGAATTAGAGAGGAAAACCAAAAATGTGTTGTTTCAGAAGTCAAAAGAAGTGTATTTCAAGAAGGAAGAAATCATTTGCAATGAACTCTGCAAGAGACCAATTAAGATGAGGACAGAAAATTTTTTTAAGTTAGGAAATAGTACAATATGCTTGCATTGTTTAGCTAACAGAGAGAGAACAGATGATGGAAGAGAGGGAGGTTACAGTAATAAGTCACTGAAAAGGAGGAACAGAATCTATAACAGAAGTGGAGAGGATGCCTTAGGAAAAGCTTACTTCATCCATTTTAACAGGAAGCAGACAGCAAATGTGGACATGGATGTGAAGATGCTGGTGGTCTAGTGCTAGGAGAAAAAATTTCCCATGTGATAGCTTCTTTTTCCTCAGTAAAGTACATAGCATGGCTAAGGGTGAAGCAATGGGAATAAGTAGTTTCTTCATAATTTCTTGATTATAGCTACAGGGAGATTTCTAGTGGATGAGCTAATTGTCATAGCAATTTTAGAAGAATCAACTAAATCTATACATTTCAGTACATTCTAAAGGATAAATACCCCATAATAAACCAACTTTCACATAGTCACGTATGTCTCATTTCATATTCTAAGAACTGTTGAGAACATGATTAAATATCTTTTATCACAAAACAACATATAGCTGCCAAATCTAAGGACATTTAAAGAGAAAAATTTTGTACCTGAGATTTTTCTAGGAGATCAACCAAGATAGGAGGTAATTCTTCTGCATCTAAGTATTCAAGCAATTCCCCTTCTTCATAAGGCAGTCGAATGGTCTCAGAATCTTAATTTTAAAAGAATAAAGTTTGTGAAAATTATGAGGCTCACAGAAAAGCCTACATGCATAATTTAGATGACTTTTCATAAAAAAGTGAAGAGCATAAAGCCAAAAGGCTCTCTTTTTTATGTAAGTCTTTTAAATCGACCATTTTACATATTACTAAAAGACTTAATAAACTGTACAGAATTTTACAACAGAAAGGAGAAAAACATCCAACATATTATGGAAAAACATCTAGCATAACAATCAATGCAAATCACAACCAGCAGTTATAATTATCAAAATATGATAAAATTCTGACATTTGATAACTGAGAGGTACTTGAAGACTGCTTAATCTAACCTGGAAATCAGAGTGATAATTTGTACTTCATCTGAAAAGTGGTCATTCATAGAATAAAATTCTCTTGGTTTTACATTTTACAATTAATTATCAACACACAAAAAAATTCTTAACTAGGCGAGCTCCTTTTAGAACTTATTACCATATTAAACTTTTAGATGACTCTTTAGTATTTTAAAACTCTATTCACATTAATATAAGTAAAATGTTAATATATGTAAATTTTTCAAAAGGCAATAAAATCTGCTTAATTTTGAAGATTTCAGACTCTGTATATTCAAAATACAGCAGAAAAACATACCTGAAAACATTTTATGGTATCTTAAAATATTAACGGCAATAAAAAGAAAAACGACAATTATTTTAAAATTATGTTTTTTATATTTTAACTTCAAAGACCTATCTCAATCAGAATACTTCTCAAATGCATATTCAGGAAGGCTAACCACATTACGAGATAATTTCTAATATTCTAACAAAACATCATATATAGGAAAATGTGGCATTGAAGTCTTCTTTTATCAAGTCATCACTGATCTGAGGGACAGGTTAGCAGGTTAAGAAGCCACTTTTGAAAGACATCACATCCTGCCTAGCAGAAATATTTCTGTGGCTGCTGCCCTCAGGAGGTTCTTACCTGATCCATTTTTTCCCCTGAGCATCAAAGAATATCCTTCATTTCCTGGATAAAGGTTGACCACTAAACATGACAACGTCTCTTGCATAACAAGTTTCTCTAACAAGTTCACATTTCTTCTTAATTTCTGCTTTAAAAAGGGCAGAGCTCATGAAAATAATCCAGCATAAACTTAATAATGCTATCATTTAACAAAAGCAGACCTTAATTTTTTTTTTTGGTGTTCCCTCCACATTATTATCCTAACACATGGAGAAGATTCACAAACACTACAGACACCAAGTACTTGTCCAACATCTATGCAAACTTAATTTTGATATAGTACTAGGTTTTATGTAAATTAATACAGAGGCAAAAAAAACTAGTGATCTATAAAACTATGAAATATGAAATATGTACCTTTGAGTATGTAAGTAGCAAGTATTTAAAATATTAAGTAAAAACCATTAAATGTAAATATTTTCTTAAAACATGCTATATAATTAGTTTTCTTCTCATTTCTAATTTCTGTTAAGTAAAAGTCTATAAAAAAGTGAAGAATTTGGGACATTCTCTTTGGTTGTATTATCATAAATATGTATTTCTTGAATATTTTATGCCTAAATTAGATCTGAACAAGTTGGTAAGCTATTTTCTGTAAATTCAATTTAATTATTCAGAAACCACTTTGTTAAAAAAAATCCATCAGGAAAAAAAAAAATCCACCAGGAAACATAATACACATACATCAATATCCATTATTTTAGAAATGCACGATTTAAAATAAAATCCACTTACAGCTATAACAATTTCTGTCATCAAATCTTATTTGCAAAAGATGTTAGTCAAAAAACCTGTTCTGAGTATTTTATATTAAATATGTATATATAGTCATATGCAGAGAAATTATAAATTCTTGACCTATTATCATCACAGAATCAAAGACTCAAACTGAAAAAAAAAATGGCAAAACTTCATTTTGATATTAAAGAAACTATTAAAGACTAAAGTTTTGAAGTCTTTTCAAGTGCAGAAAAAAAATCTCATGATTTGACATAAGATAGAATAGTTAGATAAATTCTAACAGTATGAATACTCTTCAAGAAAACAAGTTGATTCCCATTTAGTTCTGGGGTGAGCATACAGATGAGGACAGAAAACATTTCTTAAAGAACAAGTTATTATCTCAGGCTTGTGGGCCATATGGTTTGTGCTGCAACTACTCAACTCTATTATATTGTGAAATCAGCCATAGAGAAGACATAAACCGATGGGTGTGGCTGGATCCCAATATAACTTTATTTACAAAAACATGCTGTGGGCCAGATTTGGCTGGTGGAAAATGGTTGCCAACCCCAATATAGAATCTTTTTTTATGCGTCTCTCCTAACTTCTGTCTCTTAGGGGAAGACTATGTTCATTATATTCATTATAGTGATAGTTTCATGGATGTATACACATATCAAAACTTATAAAACAGATAATTTATATGCATACAATTTATGTCAATTATACTTTAATGAAACTTATGGAAAACATACCATAAGACTTATTCATATCACAATCATTTTTCTCCTAATGTAAAGATTTCAAGGGTTAGATACTACTAGAATTCCACTACTTCTTTGCCCAAAAAGTAAATTAATAATCATTTTTATATTAAAGACATAACAAAAGCTCATAGAGCTCTTTTAGGCCCTTAAAGCCCAAGGGTACAATAAATACCAAGAAGTCAATTTCTATTAAGTTTCAACTGCCCATACCTTTATGCTAAATAAAAATGAATTAAGTTAACCGAGCCGTGAACTAATTTTTATGACCAAATTCACCTTTTTATTATCATACTGGATTTTTCTACATGCCATATAATAGCTTTAACTTTCCAGTGCAAATCATCATGAAGAAATAGGTTACTTTTCTCCTATCTTCAGTCTACAGATCATTTTTCAGGAGGGGAAAAAAGCAGAGATTATATATACTGTGGCTTCCCAAGGAGATACTGTTACTGAGTAAACACGGTTCTCCTCTCCTACCTAAGCATGGGATCTCTGTCTTCTATCAGACTAGCCAGGGCTCCAGGTCAGCTGCAGAACTGGCTAGAATCTGGCTGGAAAAGACATTGGTTCACTTCACTCACAAAAATATAAATCGGTATCTGCTTCAAATATAACTCCTTCGAATTTCTCTTCTACGTTTCAAAAGCTGTAACAACATAAAAACTTATACTTACCTTAACCTCGGGCTCTTTTTCACATTCTTCAATATATAAGTCATAAAGTTTTTGAAATACAGATTTTCTAAAATGTAATAAAGACAATATACAAAATGATATGAATAATCATAAAATGTTACTTTGATTTTCCCATAATTTTTTCCCAATTTCACAAATATTAGGGGTGAAGTGAGGTTGGACGTGATAGCTAACATCAATTCGGAAAGTTCCAATATATGCGAATTACTTGTAATATAACATTTCTAGCACAACTGCCTAGGAGAAATGGAATAAATGGTGGCTATCATCATATTTCAATGACTTTAAGATGTCATTAATTAAGTATTCATACCTTCCACCAGATAGATATTTCCTTTTAGGAGGTCTCTGTCGAGCACTTTCAATGACATACTAAAAAAGAAAAGTATTTTTAAAATAGCTTGCCTTTTGTTTAGTGTATGAATGACTGTATTAAGTATATTTAAAACATGTATTAAGGATAAAAAGGCTATTCAGGCACTCAAGTCTGATTCGTACTAAAACATACCTTTTGGAAAAACTACTTAACTTCTAAATGTTATAAACAAGTGAAATTTTAACTGCACTAAAATTCAGCACACTATTTCACTGCTACAAGCAAAATCATATAGCTCCACAACTGTGATTTCACAGGTCAGAAATATTGTTTTATGGTTGTTCAAAATGTGTACAGTGTATTTAATTTCAAGGACTGTTTTTCATCTATTTTACCCTTTAACTGAGCAATCAGAAAACTTGCCAAACAGGAAAACTTAATTTCAGAAATTCTACGTCCTTGTTCAAATAATATTTATTCCACAGTATTACTACCTGAGAATTCCAAGAAACAGATGATCCAAACATCATCTGGTATTTTTATATATTTACAGCAAAATTATTTTCATACTTGTCCTAAAATAATATCAATGTATTCCTTTGACAATCAGATAAAAATCTCTTAAACTGAGTTCTGCCAATTAAAGTCAACACTATTTCAATATGTAACTTAATCATGCCTCACCTCTGCACGGTCCAAAGCTAGTTCTAAAGCTTGTTGCTGTAAAAGTAAATAGCGTAATTGGTAATGTTAGTTATTTTCACAAAAAAATTATATACGCGTAACATTTGTAATTGTCTAAATTTAATTTTCTAAAACAGGTCTAACACATTTTCCTTTATTTCTCTCTTCCACTGTACGCTCAAGATATCTTAAAAAGAAAACAATATGGCTGTCTTGGGCACCTGATTATGACAAATTAGGTTAAGAAACGCTAAAATGGCTTTCTCTAGCCAGTGCTTCCGAGGCTAATACAGGGCCAAGGTTGCTATGGTAATGATGACCATTTTATAAACTTTTAATTTCTTCAACATTCTAAGAGCACCACTCAGGAAAATATACTGGACATCAAGTATGCAGTTAAAGTGAAGAAAAGACTAAGCTCTCCTAATCTCCGAGGAATCCTGAAAATTGAGGGTGGTGCTACTATGTTGGTACCTAACAACAACTTACATTTGTATTTTTCATTCGCAATGATAGTAATTTTTAATTCCACTGACAGGCACAGAACTTACATTTCTTTTTTTATTTACAAGGACCTAAATTTTTGTTTTACTCTGTGGACTCCAACAATTCGATCTACCAAGTTGCATGGCGTAAAAACTCCCAGCACCCACCAAAATCCCAAGAGGATAAGAGGAAGAATAAATATTGCCAGACTTTGGAAATCATGGAAAGGTTTAAGTGACCCTGCCACCCTAGTCCTAAGGATGAAGAATTCATGATTACAAAAATAGCTAGCTTTTTCAGACTGCAATTTAAGACCCACATTATCAAACATCTAAAATGTAATAAGTGAAAAAAGCCTGAAATATGCCCTCATTTCAAAAGATTCAGTTCAAATATATTCATACCAATTTATTTAAAACTCTTATAAGAAGATTCCCAGTGATACTGGTTCCCAGGATGCAAGACAAGATTCTTGAGTATAAAGCATTTTCCAGCACAAAAACAAAACTCTGGATATATACACTTAAATCTCTAAGGTTCTTTAAATATTTTGGCCATATATCCTTAAAGTTTATATTAAAAATTATAAATACAATCAAATATATGCTCTAGGACAATTTTAAATAGCCAGTCTTCTCAAGTAAATATTTCGTCTTCTGAAATCAAAATTTCAAAAGGTCTAATGAGATATACTTGCATATGTAAACACAAGCATCATTTATTCACTACCTTCTTCAAATACTTTAGAGAGAATTAGCTAATGTGGATGCAAAATATAAGGTGAGATCTAAACCCCACTGTAGACAGCTCTACTTTTCTCTAATAGGGCAGGAGTAGAGGTATGGTCCCAAAAGAAAAGGAAGATAAATGTTTTCTAGGGTTTATTGAATATGATGGTCAGTGCTCATTTATTCTCATACTGTCAAATGCTGCTGCTTCTTTAAAACATTAAAAAGTGATTTTTTCCCCCCTTTGTCTTTGATTTTTTAATGGCAAAAGTTAAATGCCCAGCCTACGTATGTTTAGTGACTGTAAGTCAGTGACAGAAATATGCCATTAGGAGGCTAACACTGATGTTACTTAAATGTTATCTGCAGTAAGCAGGTTACGTTTGTTAAAAATATTTTTGTTTCTGATCTAAATTACAAGGAACTTTAAAATGAGAAACCCACAAAACTATTTCTAGTTATATACACTCTCCTCACCAATGACTTGGACTATTGTAAATAGAATTATCTGTATAACTTGGATACGATAACTTTAACACTGAATTGAGAGATGAACCCCTATTTTGTGAATAAGATTTTGCATGTGATTAGTTAAGTAATTTCCCAGTTAGGGTAACTTGAGCAGGTTACAGAAGAATTTCTCAATCTATAATACAGATATTTTTATGGAATATGAAGGAAAAAAACATTCTAAAACACAAATATAAACATCTAAGCTTACCATTGTGGCATAAAAAGGGTCCAAAAAGAAAACTTAAGTGTGTTGATGAAGTAGGGTGAAAACCATGTCTTTAGTATCAATTTTATAGCACTGTAAAAGCAAAAACAAAACCCCCATATTAACATAAAGCTATCAAATTATTAACAAGGAAAATTATTTGAGGTATATATATTTCTAACACATTTTTTAATAATCAGTTTCTTAAAAAATATTTAACATCCAAGAGAGAAAGAACAAATGTGTTTTCATTTCTTTTCTCTAGCATTACTGTTGATGCTCTCATTGTTCCTCTGGATTATTTTAACAGCCTGCCCACTGGCCTTGGTCATCGTACAGTTCACTTTACAAATGAAGCATTTCATTATACCTGCTCATAAAATCCTCTAATGATATTCCCCCAAATGCCCCAGACTACATTTTAGAGATGCAGCTCCAGTCCCTCTCTAGCCTTTCCCCTCCTCAAAGAAATTGAATACACTCCTGAAGAACCTCATTTCTCTAACATACTGGTTCTCATCCTGGCTGCATACCTTGGGAGCTTTAAAAAGTAGAATAACTATGGCCCAGCCTCCAATGTTTCCGGTCTGGAGTAGGGATCAAGGGTCAGGATTTTTGGAACTCCCCAAGTGATTCAACGGTGCTGCCAGTGCTGAAGTTCATGCTGTCTCTGCCTCCCAGAAATGATGTACGTTTGCTGAAAGTGATGCTAAATAAAGTTTATTTTTAATCTAATTCTTTTGCTAACCCGTTGTAACCAGCTGGGCTAAAAACACATCTTCAAGTGACAGAAAATAGTATTTTCCATGTAAAATTATTTTGGTTTGCTCTTGGTGAATCCAAAGCTTAGTTTTGTCAGTTTAAATTTAAAAAGGGTGACTGTGGGGGCGTGGGGGCTAGGAGGAATAAAAGACCCAAACCAGGAATAATCATTTAAAATGATTAAGACATTAATCCTACCCTCGAAGAGCTTATATGGAATTTAATATGCGAATTCAAGGTGAAAATTTTCTAACCAGTGACTCTAAAGATGAAGATACACTACATACAAGCAAAATGTGATTGATGGCTTTAAAATTAAATCTCTTGTCACTAAATTGAAGGGAGAAGAATGCGGAAAAGGAAGCTTACTGACCTTAAATTACTTAAGTATAACAGATAAAAAACAATTACTATGTATACCACTTACAAACAAAACATTCTGACTGTATACAGAATACACTAGAAGCCTGTGAAAAAACCATTGTAGTAACCATTGTAATCACTGGTGCTTTACAGAATAAGGCACTCAGAACCAGTGAATTTTCCGATACACTAGTGGACTAGAATTCAGATCTCCATAAAAAATTTTAGATTCTTACCACTAAATCTCAAAACTTTCAGACCACTTAATCCAGCACCTGTTTTTAGATTTTTAAAAGCAAAGCATTTAAAATAAAGACCTGATTTCGCTCAGACTAATACAAATTTTCTTAACTTTCATCTAACTTCACATCATGGTCATCAACTACCGTACACTGTACTTGATTTAACTCCGAAAGCCTGGCTAGCCACTTTTTATTTCGAGTCCTCCTAGGACTTTAACGTACTGGGGGAAACGCAGCCCCCTCGGCATGCGGTGGTTACGGGATATGGCTTCCAGCGGCAACTATTCGCCGTTCATTTCGGAACTCCCGGTAACGGTGGCGAGGACCAGTAATTAACCCAATTCTAATGTCGCAACCGATTCCATATAGTTCTCAGGCCGACCTGAGTTTCTTCCAACTGCTAGAACTTTCGTTAACAACTTGGGTTTCCCTGCAAAACGCCGCCAACAGCGGAGCGAGCCGCTTCTATTCAATATGGACACCTTCCCCCCAAAGAAGCGTTACGCGAAATTCTTGCACGTTTTCGGTAATACCTGTAACTGGAACGCAAAAGACAAAACTAAAATGAAAAGCCTGGCTTAGCAGCACGGTGAGAGGCAACGAAGGTGCTCGCGGGACGGCAGCTAGCTAGGCCGGGCCTCGGTCTTTGGGGACAGCGTCTCCTTCCCGCGGGATCCAGAAGGCGGCGAAAGGCCACTCGGGAAGCTGCTCGCTGCCCTTTGACCCCGGTCGGGCTCTCGCGCGCCGGCCCCACCTGCCGCCGGCAAGCCGTTCCCACCCGCCACCGCCGCCCACCTGTGCGGGCAGCCGCCACGCTGGGGCTCCCGGCGCCGCAGGCTCGGCCAGAACGCAACGTGCGAACTCCGTTCCGCCTGCCGCTCGCTCTGCACAGCCCCTGACCGGCGACAGAGCCTGTAAAGGCGGCCGCACTTCCGTCTACGCGTTGGGCGGGGCGAGCGGCACCACTTCCGTCTGCGCGTTGGGCGGGGCGAGCGGAAGTGGTGGAGCTGGGAGGGCCGTGCAGTCGGGGGTGGGTTTTGCGGGTTTCGTCGGGACTCAGGCCCCACAGAGGGTGGAGCGGTCTTGCACCTTCCTCTGTCCGCCCTCCAGGTCCCTAACTTGCGAGGTAGGATGTGGCAGTTACTGGAGGATTAGGGTACCCTGTTTTTCTAGAGTGAAAGAAACTTGGAACTAGCTTTCTTTGTTGCCCAGCCCATCCAAATGGAAAGAGAATGACATTCCTACATTTACTCTTCCAAGCCGTGCACCCTTCGATAGTATATCAAGTACCAATGAATTTCATGTTGAAAACACATACAATAAAACCTCACTGAAGAGTTTTTAAAATTCAGAAATTGAATAACCAGCACACATTGCACTGTCCGTAATTCTACACCTTTAAACAACTTTGTTGGGTCATAAAGAATGTTACTGAGGTGAAATTCACAGAACATACAATGAACCATTTTGAAGTGTACAATTCAGTAGAGTTTAGTACATTCACGATGTGCAACCACCAACTCTAATTCCAGAACATTTTTATCACCCCCCATTAAGCAGTTACTCCTTTCTTCCTTCTCCCTGGCCCTAGCAGACGTCGATTGCTTTCAGACTCTGTGGATTTACCTAATCTGGATATTTCACCTGAATGAAACGTGATCTTTTTGTTATTTCTTTCACGCTTTCACTTAGCATAATGTTTTCCAGGTTCATCCACTTCGTGGCGAGTATCAGTACTACATTCCTTTTTATGGCTAATATTCTGATCCATTATATGTATATACCATGATTTTATCCATCCATCCATTGAAGAACATTGAGTTTGTTTCCACCTTTGGGCTGTTGTTGTGAATAGTGCAGCTGTGAATATTTCTGTGGAAGTATCTGAGTCTCTGTTTTTAATTATTTGGGGTATGTACTGTTAAAGAAAACCATAACCTGACAGTAGTTCAAGTGGTAAAAACTGTTTTTATATTATTTTGGAACTCTTGCAGTAGAGAAAGAGAGACCTTAATGTAGAATTGGGCTCAATTCCAAGTACAGCATTGGCAAGTGGAGATTTATAGCCAAGGAGCAGGATGGAGTCAGTGGATGGAAGTTTCCTAAATGGAAATACCAGAGGTAAGAGGGAAATCTGGCCAAACGTACTTTGCAAAATTCTGACTAAAAGCAGATCAGGGTGACCAGATGATCAGATTCCAAGGGTTTGGGGATGAAGAATTTGATCAGATATCAAGGATGATCAGATATCTAGGTAAGGTTTCCCTCTAAAGTGACTTGGCAGGATTCTTCCTATAACTGGTTGATGCAGGTCCCACAAGGCGTATGCTAAGGTAAAAGCCTTCAGGGCTTAGAGAAACCTGGCTAAAGTTTAGTGAAAGAGAATCTTGGTCAATACATGCCTAGGAATGGAATTATTGGGTCATATGGTAAGTCTATGCTTAAATATTTGGTGAATCAATAAACTGTTTTCCATAGTGGCTAAGATATTTTGCATGTATGGTGGTTCCAATTTCTCCACATCCTCCCCAACACTTGTGTGTGTGTGTTTAATTATGGACATCCTAGCAGGTATGAAATGGTATCTCATTGTGGTTTTGATTTGCATTTTTTTAAATGCATCTTTTCATGTCCTTGTTTGTCATTTGTATATCTTCTTTGGAGAACTGTCTATTCAAGTCCTTTGCCCATTTTTTTTGATTGTGTTGTTTGTATTCTTGTTAAGTTATGAGTTCTCTACATAGTTTAGCTAGACCCTTATCAGATATATGATTTGCAAATATTTTCTCCCATTCTTTAGATTGCCTTTTCATTTTCTTGCTAATGTCTTTTGATGCACAAACTTTAAAATTTTCGATGCTCTAATTTATTTTTTCTCTTGTGACTTTTGCTTTTGGTGTCATACTTAAGATTCCATTGGCAAATCGAAATTTGTAAGGATTGTCATAAAATAAACTCCACACATCCAGTAAAACAAAGCAGAAAGATGAGTTTATTGCTAGGGTTTCTACCTGCAAGCCTGGAATCTCAAGACTACAGGAGCAATGAGTTTCAGTTGCTCACAGACTAGTGGGTTTTTATGTAGTAAAAGTGGAAGTGTAGTAAGTGTGGAAATTATTTGGCTTTTTCAGCTTATTGGTTGCCTAGTGGTCTTCTTCCTTATTTGTATTAGGGTAGATGAGTCAAAAAAATAAGAAAGTCCAAAGATGGTATGAATAGACTTGGGATGTAGGGATTATCTGACATCCTGTGCTGATTTCTGAGAAGAAAATTCTGTAAATTCCTGAAACTTAGATAAGGCTAAGTTTCATTTTTCTTTAATGTGTGATTATTGGCCAGCTCCATTTTGTCCCCAACATAAACGACTCTATTTTAGTTTAGGTTCTAAAATGTTTACCCCTATGTTTTTTTCTAAGAGTTTTATGGTTTTAGCTCTTATATTTAAGTCATTGATCCATTTTTAGTTAATTTCTATATAAGTCGTATAGTAGGTGTTCTATTCCATTCTTTTACATTTTGTTCCAGACCATTTGTTGAAGAGATTTCTTTATCTCAATGAATGGTTTAAACTTCCTTGTCAAAAATCAGTTAGCCATAAATGTATGGATTGTTTCCAGACTGTTCTATTCTGTTGGTCTAGATGGTTATCTTATGCCAGTACCATACTGTTTTGATTATTGTAGCTTTGTAGTAAGTTTTGACATTGAGAAGTGTAAGTCTTCTAGTTGCATTCTTCTTTTCCAATATTGTTTTGGCTATTCAGGCCCTCTTGTGATTTTATATGAATTTGAGAATCAGCTTTTCCATTTACAAAAAATAATAATAATAAAAAGGCCACTGGGATTTTGATAGGGATTGCTTTGAATCAGTAGATCACTTTGACAAGTATTGGTATCTTAAAATATTAAGTCCTCTAATCCACAAGCATGATGTCTTTCTATTTATTTAGGTCTTTAATTTCATTCAGCAATGTTTTGTTTTTTTCAATGTACAAGTCTTTAATCTCCTCAGTTAAATTTATTCCTATGTATTTCTTTCTTTTTTTAAAAAAAGTTCTAAGTCTGCTTGGGTTGCTATAACAAAATATCACAGATTGGGTGCTTTAAACAACAGAAATTTCTCTCTCAGTTCTGAAAGCTGGAAAGTCCAAGATCAAGGTCCTGATTGATTTAGTTAATGGTGACAATTCTCCTCCTGCCTTTTAGACAACTGCCTTCTCACTATGTCCTCACATGTTGGGAAGGAAGAGTGAG